GGAACCTAACAACAGGCATTTCAATATGAATATGTATTTCTTCTAACTGCAAAATCTTTTGTGGAAGTCAGCTACTCAAGGCAATTTCCATAAGATCTATTCTAGAACAAAAGGTTCAGTGGGGACAAGGTGAGAAAGCTATTAACTATTGTCTAACACTGAAAAGGTTGTAAGTCAACGCCTTGGTAGCTGACCTGTCAGGGGAAGGTATAAAGGCTTTATTCATGCAGTCCCTGTAATGTTCCCAGCCCTCACAAAACTGTTTCTATGATTCAATTTTCTTACCCCTTTTCTTAATTAAAAAGCTGAACCATTAGAATAACACCTGCATCATGTCCTGACGGTGCCTGCATACTAATTCCAGAGCCTTTACAACCAGTAATTATAACATAAAATCAGAGATTGAATAAAACAGAAGGATTTTGCTCCCAAAGCCTTGTTAATCCTCTTTTAAAAGGGTCTAGTGAAATAATTCAGAACAGTATCCGGAAGTTGGATTACCAATACTTTTTTTTTTAACTTTTTACAATGAAATGATAAGTCACACTTAAAGGAAGCTCTTTTTTTCTACAAGCCTTTTTTTTTTTTTTTTTTAAGAAAGTTGACAGGGTTTTTTTGAATGATAGAAAGCATTTGACTATATAGTCCTTGCTTAATAAATGAAGTGGCAGAAAATGTACGGGAAATTTTTATGACATGTTTGAAATACTTAACTTTTCTCAGGTGAAAGTGGGTACAGCGTAATTTAGGATTACTTATGTGCATGGTGCATCAGATGACTCTCATTTCTCTCTGAGAAATAAATAAGCATGGCTTTCAGGGGCAGATGGCTTGTTTTCATAACGTAGAAATACTCACATATCAGGCAAATCTCTTCACTAACATGTTGAGTGCATATATATATTTTTTAACGCTTAATGAATACAGTGATGAGTACAGAAGCTAGAGGCCGCCATTCATCCTTAAGCAAAACCTTGCCAGGAACCTTGAACTGTCCGCAGTTTCTCCCCAGTTTTGGCAAAGAACACTATCCTAATCTGGTTAATCTGACCTTGCATGGGCCAGCCGTCAGTCACAGACAAGAGAAAACTGGGTAATCCTTCTGATATTTTGTATAAAATATCATTTTTTGTTAGATTTTTCCCCTTCTTTTTGTCATTATTCTACAGTAGTACAACCCAACTCATGGAAATTTATCCAATTTTTGTTTCTTCCCTCTGCATTTTCCAAGAATGCCGATTCATTGAGGTTCAGAACCATGCACATCTCTGCTCTACTTATTTTGAATTATCGATATTCTTGCCCAGAGTTTACACTAGATCTAAAGAAGCCAAAAATGCAGGACAAATTTCAAGTTTATCTCCTGGTCATATTTACATTTGATTAATTGCATCCTAAGGTAACTTTGTTCTTTACCTTTTTTTCTATGCAGCTATTTTGGATGTTTGCAAAGCCACTGGAAGATTGAGTCAAACCTCAAAACCCCTACTTGTCTATTTAGTTTCTCTTCTTCCTGAATGGTATTGAGGTCCAAAAATGATAAAGTTCCTAGAAAACTCTCAGGCATTTTCCTCACTGAAGATATTTGGGCTAAAAGGCAATGCTGTCCTGCTCAGATAGGCAGTTAGTGACAAGTGGAACATATTATTGTGGGATCCTTGGACACTTGATAATTAAGATGTTATCAGTTTTCCCAGAATGAAGATTTAGTATAGAAAACTATTATTATTTTAAAAAGTTCTGGTGCTTTCTGAGAAGAATGTGCTTTTGTATGACTTTTGCCCATATGCTTCATCCTTGGTCACCCACTCCTGCCCCCCACTCTCATATTCCCACCCTCCACACCTGGGTCTTGAAAAGCCCAACACAAGAATCACAGTAACAGCATGGACTTATGACAAAAAAGAAATAAATATCTAGACCAGCCAGGCCATCGAGTTTACAGCAGTGCTAGTGTCTTAACAGTCATGGGTGTGTGGGTGGGTGGG